TAAAAACTGGAGAGCGAATTCATCGGAAGCCGTAAAGACCCAACTGCGATTTGATTTCAAATCGTTACTTCACATTAATGAGTCAGCGGGGTAGCATATCGCCCCGAGGCCGGCAGTCTTAGAACTGACATTTAACAAATCCTCAATACACCTCTCGTAGCAGAGACATGATTTGTTGCTTTACTTCCGGTTTCAAACTGTCAAACATGTTAAAGCTTTCAAAGCTACGACACAGAAACGTTTGTTGTCAATACAGAATTCAGCACATAATTCAGACACGGGTAATCGACATTATAACTATGTGGAAATGATGTAATATATACCATCGCGTCAATTTACAACTAATTACACGCAATGCACATTCAATTGAACGCTGTCAAGACGCCATATACTAGATTAAGTAGTTTTGCCGTGCCTACTAGGTTGCGCTAACAACTACACGGTATGGGATAAGACGTCACATTCCGTTTGGGGAGAAGAAATATCTACTGAACAATCCATAGCCTATGGACCTTGGTTGTGTTTTAAAGTAGGAAATAAAACACCCAATCCTTTACAGCCATCTACATTATTTATGATCTAGACGCCATAACACCTGTAATCTCAATTATCTGGATATGACGTTATTAGTCGAGCTTTGAAAACAATCATTTGACAGAACAGAAGAATTCAATAAAATGGTATGGTCCCAGGAGAAATCAGATGCATACACTTGACTGGATTCAGAAAACGATTTGTTCATTTGACTGTGAAATACACGTGCATGTGACGGTTGTACACGTGATTGTAAGCACGGTCTTTTGTACTTTAAGGTTCATTTTAATTTATTAGATAAATGTAAAAAAAAGTATGAAAATTTCGGCCCTTGGCATCACTGCCGAGTCATAGAAGAGCGAAACAGCAGTTGTGTTATCTGGTTCTATTGTAGTAACTATAAATTTGTATTTAAAGGTGTGTATCTTTTGTACAATCTCTCACAGAAACTTGTGCACATGCCTGTTGTCAAATCGCACTGACTCATTTGTGAACATAATATTTCTTACATGGATTGACCAATGACCAACAAAGCATAAGACGCTTACTCTTTCAGAGCATGTGGTCGAATTTCTCTCTTTTGTTCATGTTTTGCCCTCGTTATATCAATTTTGAGCATTGATGACTATTTCGTTAATTTATCGGTTGCGTTGGTAAAAGAGATGAACAAGTGAGAACATTTCATGGTCACTGCTAAGTTTTTGGATGCCATGTTTGTATCGCTGCGATAGGGCGAATCCCCGATACACTTAATCCTGGTATCATCTCATGTTTGTTGGTATTCGCAATGAATAAAATCTGAGACTTTTTCTTGGAACTGTTAACAATCATTAATTTGAAAATCGGGCGGGCTAAATGTTTATTTCGGTAGGTTAAGATATCATTTACTATTTACGATGAAAAGTTGTTTAAATAAGGAATCGTTAAATGGTAGTGATGCACTATGTGTTTTCTCATTGACATAACTATTAGGGAATTGTTGAAGATGTGGTGCCAATTTTCCACTGAAACATCCGTCCAAAGTGATGACCTTGTTATCGTCTACCCACTGGGCATTGGCATGATTCAACAGTTATTACGCGAATACATTGACTTACAAGTAAAGCATAGATGGCGTTAACATAAACATTCCTAACATCAGAACATAGAATAAATGAAGTTTATATAAATATTCCTAGCATCAGAACATAGCATAGAAAACATCAGCATAAGCATTTCCAGCATCAGAATATAAAATAAATGACTTTAACATAAATATTTATTACATTAAAACATAAGATAAATGACTTTTACATAAACATTTCTTACACCAGAACGTAAAATAGATGACGTTAACATAAATATTCTTAGCATCAGAACATAGCATAGAGGACATAAGCATAAACATTTCAAACATCAGAGCATAAAATAAATGACTTTAACATAAAATTAATAATTATAATACAAAATAAATGTTAATGTAAAAATTTATTACATAAAATAGATGACTTTAACATAAACATTTGTGACATCAGAAAATTGAATAATAGAAAATTTATAGTGTCCTGCAATTTCCCAACTGTAGTGATTGGATAACTGAAAATATCCTAGATGTAGTAATTCAAAAGTGGGGATGTTCATTCTAAATAAATAAAATGTTATAAAATACTGTTTGTTTACCGATGTTTAAGGGCGATACTCGGACGATATACTCCCAGTATTGTCTATCATTTATTGTACCACGGACAGAAAATGAGGACAATGCCATTTTGTGTTAAAATACTAAATTTCAGCTGTCATCTTAGTCAACAGAAACATTTTTCTGTTTTGTTTAATGATATCACGAGCATTTAAATTAAACATCTCCTACATAATAAGCTATATTGGTCTATAAATATCTACAAAAAAAATCGACATAGATTATATCCGGTATGTCGAAATTTCATTGTTATGCATGCTTAAGTTTAGGTAAACTCAAGAGGTTGCCATGGATAAAAGATTGATAAAAACAAAGCTAAATGGAGGAAATTATATGCTCTCTAGTGGTTTGGTTCTGGCTGATCAGTTCCTTGCAGGGAGATTTACTGTTAAATTTAATGATTTATGGTAGATTCACACTGGCATTGTTACACCATATTTTTGGTGGTCTGTGAATGATCTAGATTTCTTGCTTAATAAAGGCATGCTGATAACGTCACATGATTTCTGTCATCTTGACTTGGCGAACGTATTATACACCAAGGATTCGGGTATAATTACTTCCAGCCGAGTGTTTGTGAGACATTTCATATTTTGATCTTTCACTGCGTAAGCTGATTTGGGGATCAAATTAGGAATATATCCTTGTATAAATCAGCATTTTTCGGGAATGATGATTAATAATAAAGTCACGACCGAACAGTCATACTGAACTGGACATATTGTATAGACCATACATATAGCCCACTAAAGACCATCACGCTACTCTATTACTGTCCTTATTTCTGCTATAAATATTTCAATTTTTTTTTAGCTTTTCTATTTTCCATTAACTGTAAACTAAATCAGTATACTATTGTTTATGTGTTTATAAAATAAAACACAACTGTATATTTATTTTATTATAAGACCCGAAATAACATACAGGTATTTTTTACTCTGTATTGTGAGTACCTAAATAAAACACAACTGTATATTTATTTTATTGTAAGACCCGAAATGACATACAGGTATTTTTTACTCTGTATTGTGAGTACCTAAATAAAACACAATTGTATATTTATTTTATTGCAAGACCCGAAATGACATACAGGTATTTTTTACTCTGTATTGTGAGTACCTAAATAAAACACAACTGTATATTTATTTTATTGTAAGACCCGAAATGACATACAGGTATTTTTTACTCTGTATTGTGAGTACCTAAATAAAACACAACTGTATATTTATTTTATTGTAAGACCCGAAATGACATACAGGTATTTTTTACTCTGTATTGTGAGTACCTAAATAAAACACAATTGTATATTTATTTTATTGCAAGACCCGAAATGACATACAGGTATTTTTTTTACTCTGTATTGTGAGTACCTAAATAAAACACAACTGTATATTTATTTCTACTGGAATACCAAATAAATATACAGCAGTTTTTTATCTTTATTGCAAGAACAAAATAGCATACAACAGTTTTTAAAGTCTTTATTGTAAGTACCAAAATAACATTCAGTAGTTTTTAAATCTTTATTGTAAGTACCAAAATTATATACAGCAGTTTATTGATCTTTATTGGAAATAACAAATGACTATACAGCTGTTTAAATATATTTATTGTAAGAACCAATTAAATAAACAGTTGTTTAAATATCTTTATTGTAAGAATCAAATAAATAAACAGTTGTTCAAATATCTTTATTGTAAGTACCAAAATGATATACCATTGTTTATTTATCATTGTTGTAAATACGATTGTGTTATACCTATACTGATCTTTTACGTCCATAGTAGTAATGTATTGTACATTCAATAGTAAATAGTCGTTAATGTATCGTTACGTTTGTTATATAACGATAAGTTATTCCTTTATCTCTCTGACAATAATCATCATAGGTCTATTATACAGATCGAACATAAACAGATTGTTAAAAAAAATCCATCGAATTTCTTTGTTATCTAATGTACAATAACTGTTTCCGACTTAAACACATTTCACTTGAGGGCATCCGACTTATATCATTTGAATACAACTCGTCAATACCATACATGATTGGTCCATTGTGTTTGTTACACTGACATTTCCAACTTATACGCTTATCTTTTAGCTTCTTTCTCTATTCAATATGTACCGAAATACGCGATTATAACTTAATTAATGTTTTTCTTCCGTTGAAATGATGTTCCTTCCGTCTCATTTATTTTGCATGCTTGTATCTATCGACTCGCCATTTTTTGTGTTAGAGCCGTGCCATCCTGAGGCCGTTCCATATTAGCCGCTATTACCCAAGTAAAGATATATTTTCAACATCGCAAGTGAGTGTATTAGGATACAAATTACGTCAGTAAAAAACCTGTTCTTTATCACCAACAGCCCATCTATTGTCTTTATGATTTAGAATCCCTCTTTGAAGTGAACTCAAACACGATGTAAACATGTACAAACATATTGTTGTGAATATTGACTAGAGTATGACAATGATAGTAGTGATTTAGACTTAGGCATTAACGTCTGAACGACAGGGATTAGACATCTGTAAGTAATGAACTGTTCGGCTTCTTATCCTGAAATCTAAATGTTGACACCCAACTGGGGTTACAGAATGAGGCGCGGGGTTGAAGGAATATTCTGGAAATATCAAAATAACCAACAAAGTAACAACATGATTTTGTGAGGATTTAAATGTAAGAACAGTAAACAACAAAACAACACAGAACACTGCTTTGTGAAACACAACTGTGACTTGTTATCATTTAAGAATCTGCTGACATCCCATAAAGTGTGTCATTATTACCTTTAGGAATATTTCTTCCTTTAATAATTCAGAGCCGAAGTCAAGGAATGGCATGTGTCGCCATAAAACAACCATATTCATGCCATTCTTGTGACGGTTAAGGTCATACGGTGGCATTTGGGAATATTATTGGGAAAATACGAGAATAATTCCGACAGTGATACTCAACAATTTGTTGTACCTAATCAAACAACATGAAGGTTAACACAACAGGAGAAGGAGTCGAGCTGAGCGTGGAAGTCTGAACCGCGAAGGTTAACACAACAGAAAAATTTGAACTGAGTGTGGGAGTCTGGACCATGAAAGGTAACACAAGAACACAAAGATTCGAGCTGAGCGTGAGAGTCTGGACCGTGAAAGGTAAAAAACAATAGGAAGATTCGAGCTAAGCGTGGAAGTCTGGACAGTGAAAGTTGAGACATCAACAGAAAGATTCGAGCTGAGCGTGAGAGTCTGGACCGTGAAAGGTTAAAAACAATAGGAAGATTCAAGCTAAGCATGGAAGTCTGGACAGTGAAAGTTGAGACATCAACAGAAAGATTCGAGCTGAGCGTGAGAGTCTGGACCGTGAAGGGTAAGACATCAACAGAAAGTTTCGAGCTAAGCGTGAGAGTATGGGACGTGAAAGGTAAAAAACAACAAGAAGATTCGAGCAAAGCGTGGAAGTCTGGACCGTGAATGGTCACAGTACAACAGAACGATTCGAGTTGAGCGTGGGAGTCTGGACCGTGAAGGGTCACAGTAAAACAGAAAGATTCGAGTTGAGCGTGGGAGTCTGGACCGTGAAGGGTTACAATACAACAGAACGATTCGAGTTGAGCGTGGGAGACTGGACCGTGAAGGGTTACAATACAACAGAACGATTCGAGTTGAGCGTGGGAGTCTGGACCGTGAAGGGTCACAGTACAACAAAAAGATTCGAGCTAAGCGTGGGAGTCTGGACCGTGAAGGGTTACAATACAACAGAACGATTCGAGCTAAGCGTGGGAGTCTGGACCGTGAAGGGTCACAGTACAACAGAAAGATTCGAGCTAAGCGTGGGAGTCTGGAAAGGGTTACAATACAACAGAACGATTCGAGTTGAGCGTGGGAGTCTGGACCGTGAAAGGTAAAAAACAACAGGAAGATTCGAAGGGTTACAAGGGTACAACAACAACGATTCGAGTTGAGCGTGGGAGTCTGGACCGTGAAGGGTCACAGTACAACAGAAAGTTTCGAGCTAAGCGTGGGAGTCTGGACCGTGAAGGGTCACAGTACAACAGAAACATTCGAGCTAAGCGTGGGAGTCTGGACCGTGAAGGGTTACAATACAACAGAACGATTCGAGTTGAGCGTGGGAGTCTGGACCGTGAAAGGTAAAAAACAACAGGAAGATTCGAGCTGAGCGTGGGAGTCTGGACCGTGAGGGGTTACAATACAACAAAACGATTCGAGTTGAGCGTGGGAGTCTGGACCGTGAAGGGTCACAGTACAACAGAAAGTTTCGAGCTGAGCGTGGGAGTCTGGACCGTGAAGGGTCACAGTACAACAGAAACATTCGAGCTAAGCGTGGGAGTCTGGACCGTGAAAGGTAAAAAACAACAGGAAGATTCGAGCTTAGTGAAGGGCAACACAACTGCAGAAAAAATTTAACTGATCGCTGGAATACAGTCCCTTAAGGTTTACTTTACAGTAGGAGGGATTCGAACTAAGCGTGGAAGTGTTGGCCGTGAATGGTATTAAAAGTGATTAGAGACCCGTGACCAGATGCCACCAATAGCTATTGAATGAAGTATTTCGGTATATGTCTTCGAAAAGCAATTTTTCTCATAAAGGCGACTAAATATGCCTTTTGTAGCGTGTCCCTGTTCCCTAGATACTTTGTAAAATTAGATACCGTCGTGAAACGGACGTGTCGTACGAACACGCCTAATAAAATATTGGCATTTAAGGGAACTTGAACTGGAGATATAAGTATAAGAGGTAGGAAACATTTAGGACAGACAGAGAGTACTTCAGTGAAATAATCATTTTGTCACTGACGATTTTTTTTCTATTTGGTTTAAAAGCAGCTCTAAATCTGAGAGACAGAGACTAGAGAGAGACAGCGACAAAGACAGAAACAGAGAGAAAGGCAGAGAAAAAAGAAGACAGAGAGAGAAACAAAGAGAAAGAGATAATAATGGCACATCCTGGAATCGTTTTAATTCCACCTATTCATGTGGCAGAAAACAGCAACAATTGTTCTGGTATTAGTTCCTAATTCAAAAGAATACGGACAGGATTGTAAATGAAAGCGTTTCAAAAGCCAATTGAATACAGTACTAGCACATCGATTGGCGAGTTGGTACTGTTCAAACATAGATATGTTTTACTCCTCGCCGGGGGCGTGGTTTATCAGGCGATAGAGTGATTACAATCTGAGCCGGCCCTCTCCGGGATATTATAGTTGATCTCATCATCTGGTCGATGAGTTATGACAACTCTCAATCAATAACTGACTGTTGATTCATCGAACCCAATATTCAAGAGAAAATTGCCAATTTCTTGCTCAGTGCATAACGAATGTCACATTAATTTGAAGAGAAAAAACAATTACCACTGAGTGTAGTCTGTACAGAAATAACATAATATTGTGGGAAAAATGATGTAGGTTTCATTACCAAAATATGACATTCGGATATCAGCTGATGATCTAAGTAGCAAATCAAAATGTACATATTAAAATTTCTACACTACCTTCAATTATTATTAAGCTAATATACCCCACAAATTTTAGTCTTTTTTTAAATAATACTAAAACATCGCAAAATATTTCACTAAAAGAATTTTACCACAAAACTGATTTTAATCTGGTCCAAGTCATATCGTATGCACAGTCCGTATGATTTGATCGAATACCCTTTATGTGATAAAAATGGAATTACTCAAAGTTATATCCATCATATTTCTCCGTATTTTTTCATATGTGAAATGACTAGTCCGATAGTTAATTGTTTTTCATTGCAATGGAGTTGGACTGCCATGTGGATAATAAAATGAAAAAAAAAAATACATTTCAGAAGAAATTGCAACATAAACGCTTTATTTGATCACGAAAATAATGCTGGCGAGAAAGTGTGACGTCAAAAAACCCTGTCACTCACGTGTTGTGGGAGTGGTACAACTCGGTAACCATGGCAGTAATAATGACGTCATAGATACCAAATTCATATACTTCATTCACAGTTTTATTTGTTGCAGCATCCCTTGATGTGATGATGATTTTTCATCTTTAACATAACATGCTCATTATAAGATGTTTTTAAGAAAGACTTCCCCATATTGAATACTATATTATATAAATATCTTTCAGCATTAGGTTTAATTAATAGAAATTATAAAATACTGAGATAAAAACATAATTTTGTTTTGTGTAATTTTTGTTCGAAATATATCTTAAAATATGTTTGGTATGACCATGTTAAACGTTTCATTAGAACAATCGTAAGGAGCGCAGCTTGATCAAACGTAGCTCTCAATCAACAGATTTTAAGGAGTCTTACAACAGTAATCACAATACTGTTTTTTGTCGTCAAAGCAAACTGAGAACCACTATTAAAATAGTTACCCATCCCTTCGAATGTTACGTCTCAACACATAAGAAATAAAACCTTAACGTATACTTCCGAGAAACCGTAAATATGGGGCTAGATATATCAGTTCAAAGATACCGCAATTCACTGACTTAAAGAAACCACAATAAAAAGGGATATACAAAGACGACAACAAGTGTCCAGCTGAGTTTGGGCTGACTAGACGAACCTTAAATACTGACCATTACTCCGACACCATAAAAGAGAGAAAATACACGGTCAAGGTATAATTTGTCTGACACAAAGAATAGACAATTGGCGTCTTATTATCTGTGTACATTACGTGAGATCAAGGTTGGGGACAGACCCCGCCTTCAGCGAGGAGCGCGCCATTCTTGCCACACAGCACGGTTGTCATACGAGAAATTGTATACTTCAAAATATCTACAGATCACTCGAGTTCATATCAGTTACAATAATCTACAATTTTCCATGCACGAAATTTAACAACGCTCAGAATCCTTCGCGCGAATAATTCTCCAAGAGGGAAAAATAACCAGATTCGATGCAAAACAGCAGCAGAGATAAATCCAACTTCCATCAGCTTGAACACACTAATACACCCATAAATGAACATAAATTAGCTATCATTTGAAACTGCTGAGTGAATAGTAAGATACAATTTCAGTAGATTTAGTGTTTGGTGAATCTTTGTAATCCATGCTATGAGCTATGAGAATATATAATATAAAACTTGCGCAAAATATAGTGCGTTTTAGACAAAAGATATGATATACACACACGTTTTAACCAGTAGAATTCAACACTGTCAACATGGCGGGCAAGGTGGATAAAATGGCAAATCACTTTATCTGAATTTTGAAAAATAAGTATGGCTTTTACGAAGTAAGTTGTGTGTTTCCTTTGTCTCGTTAACTTCAAGCAACATACCTACATTACACATAATTTTATGAAATTTAAAGTAAAAGTTTTGCGTTAGAAAATTAATAAATTTTACGTATGATGTACCATGGATGTAGAATTATTTAAATATTATTGGTTATAAATTTAATTTTACAAACTTTAGCATGTATGTCGTAAAAAAAACAGCATAGCAGATTTTCTTCCGAATATTGTAAGCACAGAAAAATAGCTGAAGAGGTAGAAAGAAAAGGAAAATTGTGATGATAAAATGATGTGTTTTCTTAAAAATAATATGGGGAAAAAAAGAAATTAAAATGAAGAATGATGAGACATTAATAGTAATTCTTACCTTATATCGTGGTGTGTACTGTCCGTTAATATTAAATTCCACCGGAATAGAGAGGTTTCGAAAATAAATATCTTCTCTTTTTTTCTCGTATCCACTGATCGGTTTCTCAGATGAAGATTCGTCCAACGAAATCAAGTTGTAAAATTAAAGTCCAGTTTGAAAAGTTTGTGCGAGTTCCGTCGGTGTCCGTGGGTAAGAAAAGTCGCGTTCCAAAGCTCTATCTATATACAGGCCAGGAAAGACCGCGGCGTGTGGAGCAAGCAGCCGCACTGAGTGGAATGCTTCGCCTA